TGTACAATCAGTATATTGACATTGATCTTTAAGGACCTAGCACTTGGTAAGTTTTGGTGAAGTGTCAAAGAAGAATATCCATAGCTATCTAAATAGACTATTAAAACACTCTCCTCTTTTTCAAGTATCTGTCTTTGTGAAGCCAGATTTTCTTCCTACACTTCAATCAAAACAACATACTGATAGTGCAACAGAATGAAAAAGCATATATGGGTATCTAGCTGCCTGCTTTTATGGCATACTTTGAAGAGACTTGCAGTAATGTACAATTATGGCACTCACTTTTATTTTTTGTTTTGAGAAGCATTTTTTCTAAAATGTGTTACCTATGTTAACAGATAAATTTGTTTTTTCTAAATGAATTAAAATACAAATTTTAAAAATTTCTCAGTTTTAATTTTTTAATGAAGTGTAACTGACATACATTATATTAGTTTCAGGTACATATAAGGATTTGATATTTATATATATTGTGAAATAGCACAGTTAGTCAAGTTAGAATCCATCACCACACATAGTTACAAAATTTTTTTCTTGTGATGACCACTTTTTTTTTTGATGAGCACTTTTTAAGATCTATTTTCTTAGCATCTTTAGTACCTTTCAAATATGAAATACAGTGTTATTAATGATAGTCACTGTGCTGTACCCATGACTTATTTATTTTACAACTGGAAGTTTATACCCCTTGATACCCTTCACCCATTTTACCAACCCCTCAGTCACCCCCTACAAAACTTCTGGCAACCACCAGTCTGTTCTCTGTATCTATAACTTTTATTTTGTCTTGGATTCCACATAGTAAGTGATATCACATGCTATTTGTCTTTCTGTCTCTGACTTATTTCACTTAGTATAAGGCCCCCTAGGTCCACCTGTGTTATCACAAATGGCAAAATTTCATTTTTTTATGGCTAACATTCTACTGTGTATGTGTACCACATTTTCTTTATCCATCCAGCCATCCATTGATGGACATTTAGGTTTCCATATCTTGGCTATTGTAACTAGTGCTGCTGTGAACATGGGGTGCATATATCTTTTTGAGCCAGCGTTTTAATTTTCTTTGGCTAAATACTCAGAAGTGGATAACAACTTGTTTTTCTACATTTTTCCAGAGTTATGTTTATCAACAGGAGAGTTAGTATGATATGAGCTGCACTACTGTTAACTGAAGTGGAATTTCTCTCTCTTCCTATCCTTGAACTGAGATCAGTCAGAAAGGTCATGTCCTCGTCTGTGGCGAGACACCAGAGTCAATACCAGGTCCTTGAAAAATATGGCCTCCCCCAGCCGTTCAGGGTTCTATTAGTCCTATTTTCCCACAGTCCACACATGAAGTCAAATTTAACATCCTCTTACTTGAGTGGTTCTGATGTTGGTCTGAGGATGATCATCGGTTGCCCATTCTCTCATAGTCTCTCCCTTCATCCTTGGTGGATGCCATCTGTCCAACATCTTGGGCTCACACTTGTATTTAGTGATATCACTACATATGCCTTTTAAAGCACACGTCCTGATTTCTTAACATTTTATGTCATTGTGGGTTTATGGTGCCAGTTGACATTAATCATTATATTTTTGTTGCTCAGATTGTCAGCACTGGGGCTTTATTAGCCCTTTCTTTAGGCTACGTTATTCTTTCATTTTTTTACTCTTTTATTGAAGTATAATTTACCTACAGTAAAATGCACATATTTAAAATGTACAGTCAAGTGTGTTTTGAAACATGTATAAACCTTGTAACCCACATCCCTGTCAAGATAGAACATTTCTAACACCCCATGACATGTCCCTTGTTTCCTTTCCTCCTTTCCAATCAGTTTCTCCCCGACATGAAACCACAGTTGTGCTGACTTCCCTCAGAATAGACTAGTTTTGCTTGTTTGCCAGCTTCACATGAAGCGATTTATAAGTATGTACTCATCTGAGTCTGGCGTCTTTCACTAAGGATCCTGGTTTTGAATGCCATCGACATGTTGAACTTCTCAGTTGTTTATTTTTATTGCTGAGTGCTATTCTGTCATGGTAGTTTATACATTCCCCTGGGCCATTTCCGGTAGGGTTTATTATGAAGAAAGCTGCAAGCCTTTTTGCATATACACATTTGCTTTTCTCTTGAATAAGTACCTGGGAGTGCAATTGCTGGGTCTTAGGGAAATTGTGCACGTAACTTTGTAAGAAATGACCAGTTTTCCAAGATAATTTTACCACTTCACACTCCTACCAGCCGGGTGAGAGAATTCCAGTTGTTCTACCTCCTGCCAACACTCCATATTATTTTTAATTTTTTAACCACTTGAGTGGCATTTCATTGTAGTTTTTATTTTTCATTTCCCTGCTGACTAAAGATGTTGAGCATCTTCTCTTGGCCACTCATATGTTTTCTTTGTGAACTCTCTGATCAAATCCACTGGCCATTTTGTTGTTGTTATTTTTACTTTATTATTGATTTGCAGGGGTAACTTACCTTCACCTTCTAAAAACAGTTACCTTGGAAAGCATCCTTACCTTCTGACAATAGCAAGATGTCTTTGGCTTGCTTTTCAATTTTCCTTCTGCACATGTGGAACCAACTACTCTCTAGGAAATCCTGTCATCTTCTTGGGGAACTAATGACAATTCCTGTGTAATCGTGAAGTCAGTTCTGGGCATGGTGGGGACTGGACCTGGCTCAAAGCCTGTCAGGTCAACCCGTGCTTTCTATTTCTCTACTCCTCCAGCTATAAGCATAAGACATCTTGCCAATCCCCTCATAGTCTGTTTTTATTGAAGTCTATATATAGTTGATACACATTATATTGGTTTCAGGTGTGCAGCATAGTGATTGGACAATTATATACATTATGAAATGCTTACTGCTGTAAGTGTAGTTCCCATCTGTCAGCATACAAAGATACTACAATGTTATTGACTGTATTCCTGATGCTGTATTTTTATCCTTGTGACTAGTTTATTTTATAATTAGAAACCTACACCTCTTTATCCTTGTCACTTGCTTTGGCCCCCTCCCCCCACCTCCCTCATGCAGCCACCAGTCTTCTGTCGTCCTCTCATTATCATACTCCTCTACTGCCCCAGCCGAACTCTCCCAGAGAACTGAACTCCTTTTGTGCGATGCTTTCTGAACCACTGCCCCATGCACATTTCCTAATCAAGTAACTTTCTTATATCTTTGGCATCTTTTTTTTTTGAGAGGGCACCTCTCATATTTATTGATCAAATGGTTGTTTACAACAATAAAATTCTGTATAGGGGATTCAGTGCACAATCATTAATTAACCCCAAGCCTAACTCTCAACAGTCTCCAATCTTCTGAAGCATAACGAACAAGTTCTTACATGGTGAACAAGTTCTTACATAGTGAATAAGTTCTTCCATGGTGAACAGTGCAAGGGCAGTCATCACAGAAACTTTCAATTTTGATCATGCATCATGAACTATAAACAA